AAAGAAAGAAAAAAAAACAATAAGCTGAAATCTGATTTTCTAATATTTCTCTCTCTACATACCTCTCCTCCCAATTACAAGGAAGAGAGGTATTTATACCCTCCTCTAAAACCTAACCCAAATCAAGGCCCAAAATTTTAGGCATCACGTGCAGAGTAAAATAATTAGAGCCGTCGGCCTACGCGTGTAGCAGAGTTCAAATCGGTCAGGGGAACACGGAGCGCCCGCTCTAAGGCCAGAGCGCCCCGCTCTGAAGTCTCGCAGAAAATGCTCTGATTATTCTGGGAGCTAGAGCGCCCGCTTCAACATTAGAGCGCCCGCTCTGAGGGTTGGGTACTTGGTTTTTCTGCAGCAAGGAATACAGAGCGCCCGCTCCATATCTAGAGCGCCCGCTCTGAACTCTTCTTTCCTTCATATTTTGGGCTCTAATGCTCCAATCCCTTTGACTCCAAAGCATGCCTAATCCTTGCATCCAATCCTTGCTTTCTTAGCCACGAGAGGACCTGTAAGATGGAAAACACAAATCATAGGAAAGGTTCTAATAGGAGCAAATTGAAATGGGTTAAAGGAGAGGGAATAAAACCTTAGGAAATGAGCCAAAAATGACTCAAAACCACTCCAAGTAACAAATATGCTCAATAATAACAAAACTAAGCTAAAATAGAGGAAAAAGGGCAAACAAAGGGCTCAATCGGGGAAGAAACGAAGTAGAAAAGTGGGCCAAATGGCCACTGATCAAATTCCCCCCAACTAAGTCCTTTGCTCGTCCTCGAGCGAAGTAAAATAAGCAAACAAAAATAACCAAAAGCATAATTCTATACACTAACTCACTTTCGTAGGAATCACGGTCGTTTTTAGCGTAAACGACAAGCCATTTAAACCCCCAAGTCACTTAGGAGGACGAGTATGCTCTCGTGAGGGTTTTCGAGAGAGATTAACCCACAACTTCGCACTAAATCAAGGCAAGGTTTTTAGAGACAAATAGAAAAATAGAAAAATAGAAAAATAAAAAGGGAAAGAAACACAAACATGAATGGTTGAACTTTCACTACAATGCAATCACAAGGATGCGCAAGCTTCTTGACAAGATAGGTGGACAAGCTAGCTAATGCTCCTGGTTGAAGGCCACATAGCTCATGCTCAAAAGCTTGGACTATAAAGATCCTATCCTCCAATTGTCCCTCACCAAGGCAACCTTCCTCATCTCGATCATGTACACTAGGCGGCTAGTCGTCTCGAATTCCACAAGAGAATTAGGAGAACAACAAGGAGGTGGGCAAGGTAGGATTGCCCTAACTTAGTAAATGCAAATCCAATCTAAAAGCTCGACCCATGACTCTCTCCACCGACATTGACTCAATCACTCAAGGTCCAAAGGGCTTTTAAGGTGCAATGAAATGGCTTGGGGTAAGGGTTAAAAAAAAAAAAAAATTCTGGCTGGTGGTGTAAGCTCCTAAGAGTGAAACATTAATGAATCGAGCAAAACCAAGGCCAACTAACCTTAGTTGGTGGGTATTATACCCCCCAACTAACTCTAAACTATATACAAGATCGATGCCTTACTTATGCATTCTTATTCCAACTTTTTTTTTTTTTTTTTTTTTTTTTATACCAAAAGATTTAATTGGGGAAACAAACACGTCCCTTGCAATTTACATTATAGACATCCACTATGCCAAACTTTTAACTTAGATACAAAGCCAAGCTCGAGTTTCACTCATTTCTATAAAGGTGAAAATAAAATTAGGTTCATAAGGCTTGTAATGCGGGTAGACAAAAAGTGGAAGGCTCAAGGGGGTACGCAAAAGGTGAATGTAAACCCAAAAACCTGAAATTTGAAAGTAAAGGTGTCCTAGGAAATAAAAAAAAGGATCTAAAAAGAACGAAAAATTATGCCCTTATCCCGAAATGAATGCCTTTATCATCCTATGAGTCGATTCGGTCGCGGTCTCAAGAGTCAAATGGAGCGAGTTTTAGATCAAGTAGCAAAACACTAAGTCTCCAAATTTCTAGCCACCTAGCTTTCACTCACAAGATGAGCTACGCCCAACAACCACAAACCGAGGACAAAAGGGATCAAGGCCTAAATAGCCCAAGATATGTCCAATAGGAGTCATTTGAGCAATGAAGCTATGTGATTTTCAACCAAAACATTAAAGACCTTGTAAACCTATCAAACCAAGGAACCAACTCATATATGTTCATACATTGTAGTTACTAATTCAGCCAAACACAAAACAAAGTTTTAACACTTGCCTTGGATAACACTAAGAGAAAGAAAAAGAAAAAGAAAACATTGAAGAGCAACAAGAGAAGTAGGACTTTGTTTGGAATAAATTCCATAAGTGGGGGCGGTAGAAGGTACGTGAATTGAATGCACGTCCTCCTAGGCATAAAGCCGGGCGCCTCTCACGAGGTGTGAACCTCGCCCCGTTGCTACTCTTCAACAAAAATAGAAAGGAAGGGATAGAAGGATAGAAGAGGAACTCAAGAATGAAAGCATCAATTCACACAATTCTCAGTACACAATTCCAAGTATGCAAACATCCATGAATCAATCAACTTAATCCTAACTCCGCTCCTAGGAACTAAGCAAGATAAAATAAATAGAAGAGAGTTTGGAAAGATCTCACCGGAGCCATGCCAATCCAAAACATAAAAAGAATGATGGGTTCCAAGTCAACCAACCTTGGCTCCTTCCAAAAGTAGTATACAACCTGCCAAAAAGTGAGAAATACCAGAACTCCAAAGCAAAAAGATTAGAAAACAAAATAAAGAAGAAAAAGGAAAAATGATCATGTATAATACAAACCAACAGATACAAGCCAACAGATTATTAAGCACAAGCAAGCATAGGAAAGGCTGCTCATCCCCAAAATGATATTTTCATTTGCCCCTAGATATGAAAATGCTAAGGCACCCCCCCAACTAAAACCAGGCACCGTCTCGGTGCGATAAAACATGTAATAGTCAAGGGTGGGGGGGGTCAATAGAAATGATCATCTATTCCTCAGAGTCTTCCTCTTCCTCTCCCTCTACAACTATAGGGGGCGCCCAATCATAATCAACATCGCATGGCGGCCCATATGGCTCCCACCCACCGTAATAACCGGGGGGAAAGCCGTCGCCCTGATAAGGATAGGCGGGATCACCGAGGTAATCACACCCACCTGAGCGCTGGTAGTTGTAGGGGGGGAAGGAGTGGGGAGGGTCATGCAGGGTACCGGGGCCTTGCCAATAGGGGTATTGGCCGCCGGTACGAGGAATGGGGTTCCCATTGTCATCTACTTGAGGGGGCTCCCAATTCGGGACAGGCCCGTGCTGCGGAGGGTAGTAGGGGTAGTTGACACATGGGCTAAAATGTCCCTGGTCCACATGGTAATCATAAATATGGTTTTGATAAATATCAAAAGTGGGACCAGGAGACTGAGCAGGGGCCTCCTCTCTTTCCCTAGGCCGGGCTTGAGCAAGGTTCCTAACCTCCAGAGTGAGGCTAGCGAAAGCTTGCTTAATATTAAATGCAGAAGAGGAAGAGGGCTCACCTCCCCCCGAGAACTGGGGGGGGGGGCTGCTGAAGATGCTGCTGTGCCTGAGAAATAAATTGTTGAAATTGCTCTTGTTGCTGCTGCTGAAACTGTTGCTGCTGTTGCTCTTGATGTTGCTGGAATTGTTGTTGTTGCCGCCTCGCTTGCCTGATTTCATTTCTATGATCAATCTCGGGCTGGGAGAGGTCATTCTCGTGAATTTGCTCCATAGGGACTTGCCATGGTAACTCAGTTCCCGGGGGCGGATTCATCATGAACGGACATGGCATGTAGCACCAAGGGACGTCTCGGATCCGCCAAATGAAGGCCTTACCCGTGACTCCCGTGGAATCCGAAATGAATTGCATTCTTTTCATCTTCTCTATGTTCAATTCGGCTGCCATGTTCAAGCTCTCCATCTGCTGCAGCTGGGTCTTGTATCTGTACTTGAAGGCGATATACGTGACCATCCCTCCCATAAAGATAGGACCAGTCAAGAGGGGGGAGTCCCTTATTGCCTTACATCTCTTGGCAAACAGATACCCTAGATTGATCTTGTGCTCCGGGGTGGCAGGTGGGTAAAGAAGCGCACCCTCGGTAGCTCTCCAAAGAAGATATAACTCTTGATCGCTCATTTTACCTAGATCTTTTCTGGAGAAGAAAATATATGCAAGCATCCGGTGAAAGTACCGTAAGGCGGCATGGTGGATCTCTGAGGCCTTGGAGGAGTTTGATTGGAATTCTCTAGCCCCACTCGTGATTCGGGCCCAAAATTCTTGCGGACTGTACCCCTCTATATAACCTTGACCGTCAAGTCCGGAGGTATCCAAGATTCGAGCATTTGGGTCCCAACCAAATAGTTCATTGAAAGCACGAAGGGTAATGTGGCGGCCTTTGTTGAACAACCGGAATTTTACTTTGAATGCATCAATGCCTTCCATACCCTCTTCTTGATTTAACTCGAAGCTAGCAAGAAACTCCAATGTTAGGGGGCGGTAAGTTAGAGGCGGTTGGGTGGGGTAGTAGTAGGAAGTATCTGCGGTGATGTAATCATTTGGCAATCTACAATCCAAGAACGCATCAAACCCCAGATTCACTGCAAGCTCCCTAACCTTCTCGTCTATTCCAATCATATAACAGTCGTGTTGGGAATAGAAAAGAGTTGGATTAATTGCCCTCCTATCCAATGCGGTCAATTTGGTCCTTTGGGCCGCATGTGGCAGGGTAATGTTGAATTGAGTGGGTTGAGCATGCCCACCACTACTACCGGCACCACTACTTTCTCCTACATTACCACTCCTTGGTTCGGCTCTTTGCCTCTTTGAACCACCAGCCATTTCTTACAACAACAATATAGAAATTTTCCAAAGCAACACACCACAACAACCCAACAATTTCCAACAATTCTACACAATGACCACAAAAACAAAACTCTCCAAAACTTTGCACAACCACCAATTCTAAAACCAAAACTTTCTACAAACCAAAACCTAGCAAAAATCCACAATAATTTTCCCTTGCCAAAGCACCACAACAAACAACACACTACAATTCACAACAAATTTTCACCACATAAAACACAAAACCCATTCATTCACCATCAATTCTCCAATTAAGCCAACCTTAATAAGCAAATATCCAAAGAAATAGGGAAAATTAACTTAGTAAGAGTAGGATTATACCAACAATTGGAGACAAATTAGCCTAGAGTTGAAATTGAAGAAGAACCCGACTTGGCCCGACGCGAACCCGGTAGAACCCGCTTCAATTCTTGATGAAATCCGGACTAGGTGCTGAATTCTTGATGGAGATGTATGATTTTTGGAGATAGGGGATGAATAATTTGTGAATTTTAGAGGAATTCGTAGTTGGAAGGTGGAGATTTGGAGGAGATGAAGGTTTGGTTATGGAGGAAGAAGTTGAGGGAGTTTGAGGTGAGAGAAGGGATAGGGATAGCGAGTTTGAGGTGAGAATTTGGGTGCTCAAAATTAAAAGGGGATAAAACGCAAAGTCTGAAATGAGGGTCGGAGCGGGCGCTCTAAGGGTAGAGCGGCCGCTCTAACATTTCGCTGAAAAATCAGGTTTCTGGGTTGAAAATCAAAGCGCCCGCTCTAAGACCAGGGCGCCCGCTCTAAAGCTGCGCAATTTTCCCACACTTAGTCAATTTTTCACCCAAAACTCAGAGCTCCCGCTCTCTGACCAGAGCGCCCGCTCTAGCTTCTCGGATTTTAGCACCAAAAAATGTAGAATTTCTGAGGGACCTTCAAAGCGCCCGCTCTACACCCAGAGCGCCCGCTCTAAATTCTCGAAATTTTCCTTCCTTAGCCCCTTAAAATCAGAGCGCCCGCTCTACACCCAGAGCGCCCGCTCTAAATTCTCGGATTTTGGCCTCAAGTATTCTGAATAATTCCCAATGATGCAGAGCGCCCGCCCTCTGTTTAGAGCGCCCGCTCTAGACTGTCGGATTTTTGGCTTTAAAAGCATGATTTCCCAAACCTGCAAACACTCAAATATCACTCAAACCAAAATCGTTAGTACTTCTATAGGATGCGACCTAAGTACCCGACTCAACCATTGATTGGTTGAGCCAAGAGGTCGTGCCCTTCGGTTTATAGCATTTTGGCTAACGATAACCAACATAAACCATCCCCTCTTTGGGGAAAAATCCTCCGGATTTTTGCAAAGTACTTAAAACAAAAAGTAACTAAAGAGATAGTTCAAAGACAAATATTCACAATATACTACAAAGCATGCTAGTTTAACGTCCCTAGCTTGACGTTACGTCACGAGCAATAAAGCTAAGGGGGAGGAACGGTGTGGACCGTCCCAAGCATTAGGCAATCGATCTTTCCAATATCTCCTTCATCATAGTATCTTTTGATCCGTTGCCCATTCACCATGAACCGGCTCCCATCTTCATGATTTTCCAATTCGAACGAAGCCATAGGGGGTTACTTTGGTGATTGTAAACGGCCCCACCCATTTGGACTTGAGCTTCCCGGGAAAGAGTCGGAGACGTGAGTTGAAGAGAAGAACCTTGTTACCCACCTCGAAGTCACGATCTCGAATCCTTTTGTCGTGCCACCTCTTGGTTTGTTCTTTGTAGAGTCTAGAGCTCTCATAAGCATCATACCTCAACTCTTCCAACTCGTTGAGCTTGAGTAACCTCTTTTCTCCGGCCAAGTGAAGGTCCATGTTGAGTTCCTTTACAGCCCACCATGCCTTGTACTCCAATTCCACCGGAAGGTGGCATCCCTTACCATAGACAAGTCGATATGGCGTGGTGCCAATCGGTGTCTTGTAAGCGGTCCGTAAGGCCCATAGTACATCATCCAGTCTTAGGGACCAATCTTTTCTAGACTTGTTGACCATCCTCTCGAGCAAACTCTTAATTTCTCTGTTGGACACCTCCACTTGCCCTTGGGTTTGTGGATGGTAAGGGAGTCCAACCTTATGATGTACCCCATATTTCTTCAAAAGTGCTTCGAGTTGTTTCTTGGCGAAATGAGATCCGCCATCACTAATTAGTCACCGTGGCACCCCAAATCTAGGAAAGATGATCTTCTTGAGCAACTTCAACACTACCTTGTGGTCATTTGTGGGTGATGGTATCGCTTCCACCCATTTAGTCACATAATCCACAGCCACAAGGATATACAAATTCCCACATGAGGAGACAAACGGACCCATGAAGTCCACTCCCCATACATCAAATGGCTCAACTTCTAAGATTGATTGTTGCGGCATTTCATTTCTCTTTGTGATTCCTCCCATCCTTTGGCATCGGTCACATCGAAGGATGAACTTGTGAACATCTTTGCGCATAGTTGGCCACCAAAGCTTGCAACCTAGGATCCTTGCCACGGTCTTGTTGACACCTCCATGACCTCCACAAGGTAGTGAATGACAATGTTCCATAATACCTTCCATCTCATGATTTGCCACACATTTCCGGAACAAACCGTCACTACACTTCTTGTACAAGCTTGGATCATCCCAAAAATACCTCTTAACTTCCTTGAAGAACCTCTTCCTTTGTCGAGCATCATAGTCATGAGGTACCACCCCGCTTGCTAAATAATTTGCAATATCAGCGAACCAAGGGATGGTGTTGGTAACGATCGCCATAAGAGAGTCATCTCGAAGCTCATCATCGATGGGATCCTCTTTGTCAAGGTAAGAAGGGTGGTCTAACGGCAACCTTGAGAGGTGGTCAGCCACTAGGTTCTCACTTCCTTTCTTATCCCGTATTTCAATGTCAAATTCTTGTAAGAGAAGGACCCATCGGATTAGACGCGGCTTAGCATCCTTTTTGCTTATTAAATACTTCACCGCGGAGTGATCGGTGTAGACAATGGCCTTGTTGCACACCAAATAGGGTCTAAACTTGTCAAAAGCGAAGACCACCGCCAACATTTCCTTCTCCGTGGTGGTGTAATTCTTTTGTGCCGTATCTAAAGTCCGGCTTGCATAAGAGATCACATTCAATTTCTTTTCTTTCCTTTGCCCAAGGACTGCTCCAACTGCATTATCACTCGCGTCACACATTAGTTCATACGGGAGTTCCCAATTCGGTGCTTGCACTATAGGCGCATTCACTAAAGCATTTTTCAAGGTTTCAAATGCCTTAGTGCAAGCATCATCGAATTTGAACTCCACCTCTTTTTGAAGTAAACTCGTCAAAGGTCTCGCTATTTGTGCAAAATCTTTGATAAATCGACGATAGAAGCCGGCGTGCCCCAAGAAGGCACGTACCCCGGTCACCGATGATGGTGGGGGTAGCTTTTCTATCGCCGAGACCTTTGCCGGGTCTACCTCAATACCATTAATGGACACTTTATGCCCGAGGACAATGCCCTCCTCGACCATAAAATGGCACTTTTCCCAATTCAACACAAGGTTCGTCTCTTGACACCTCTTTAAAACCTTTTCGAGATTGTGCAAGCATAGGTCAAAAGACGAACCACAAACACTGAAATCATCCATGAAAACTTCTATTGCATTTTTGATCATATCAGAAAAGATTGCTGTCATACATCGTTGGAAAGTCGATGGGGCATTGCACAATCCGAAGGGCATCCTTCGGTAGGCAAATGTCCCAAATGGACAAGTGAAGGTTGTTTTATGTTGGTCATCCGGGTGAATTGGGATTTGAAAGAAACCCGAATAACCATCAAGAAAACAATAGTGTGAATGCTTCACCAACCTTTCCAACATTTGATCGATAAATGGCAAGGGGAAATGATCTTTTCTAGTGGCTTTATTAAGCCTCCTATAGTCAATGCACATTCTCCACCCCGTGACAGTGCGGGTGGAGATATCATTCCCCTTGTCATCTTGTATGATGGTCATGCCTCCCTTTTTGGGAACCACATGAACCGGGCTCACCCATTTGCTATCGGAGATAGCATAAATGATCCCCGCTTCACGTAGTTTGAGGATTTCCTTCTTAACCACTTCCTTCAAAGTCGGATTCAACCACCTTTGAGGTTCAATGGAAGAGGCATGATCATCCTCAAGATGAATGCGATGCATACACAAGCTAGGGCTAATCCCCTTAATATCATCAATGCTATACCCGATAACACTCCTATATTTTTTTAAAATCTCAATTAATTTTTTGCAATGAGGTGTCATCGAGGTTAGCATTGACAATAATAGGATGTAAGCAATCATCATCCAAATAAGCATATTTGAGAGAAGGAGGGAGGGGTTTTAGTTCTACCTTGGGAGGAGGCGTGGAACTCTCCTCCTTAGACTCACTTTGGATCGATGGAGCTCATCCACGGCTCCTTGAGTCTCGGGATGAGTTTCACCTTCAAGGCTTTCAACCTCCAAGGCACACAAAGATTCTCCTTCACCCACCTCCTCACATGGGAGGTCTTCATCACCCTTGTCTTTAATTACCTCATGAGACTTCACCAATTCATCAAGTTCGGAGTCCACCAAAGTCCACCCGCCAAATCTTCTCTACCATAGGTTGCTTCAAAGTCTTTGAGAATTCAAACTTGTACTTCTCATTGGCCACCTCACATGTAATGGTATTATCTTTGCAATTGACGACCGCTCCCATGGTCTTGAGTGCCTCTCTTCCAAGGATAAGAGGAGTATGAGGGTCCTCCTCCATATCCATCACCACAAAATCGCAAGGCACAAACAAATTCCCAATCTTGATAGGAACGTCTTCTAACTCACCGCATGGGAATTTTGTGGACCGGTCGGCTAATTGAATCACCTTTCTTGAAGGTATCATCTCGAACTTGAGCTTCTTTGCAATGGATAGTGGAATGAGGCTCACACTTGCCCCAAGATCGGCTAGTGCACCCGTGGTCTCCATATCACCAATCTTGACCGGAAGAGTGAAGCTTCCCGGATCACATTGCTTGGTAGGCAAGGTTCTTTGCACTAGGGCACTAACTTGATGAGGAAGAGTGATACACTCATCACTTAGCTTCTTTTTGTTGGAGAGGAGTTCCTTGAGGAATTTTGCATAGGGTGGCATTTGAGTCATGGCTTCAAGGAATGGAATGTTGATGTGAAGTGACTTGAGCATAGCCATAAACTTGTTGTACTTGTCATTCAATCTCCTCTCAACAATCCTCTCGGGATAAGGCGGTGGTGGTTCAAACCTTGATGGTTTGATAAGATGTTGATGGTTGCTTGTCTTTCCCAACTTCCTTGCTCTTTTCACTACCTTCACCCTTCTTCTTCTCAATGATTCCTTCAACACTATTGTCAATTATTTGACCTTGGCTATCTCCATTGACCTCTTCAACCACTTGCTCTTCACCTCCTTGTTGTGCTCCGATTGATCACTCCTAGGCCCCTCATAAGACTTTCCGGACCTAAGAGAGATAACTTTGATATGATGGGTGGTAGCCGGGTTGGTAGTAGGTTGGCCGGGAGCTTCTCATTGGCTAGATTGGTCACCCTCTCGGCGAGTTGAGCCACTTGATTATCCATCATCTTTTGATGTGCGGTGATCTCTTGATGCCTTTGATCCGCTTTTTCGCTCACTATTGGTTATTCTTTGATCCATGGCGGATAGGCTTGATTGGATTCTATTGAGAGTTTCCATGAGCATTTGTTGATTAGGATCATTTTGCATGGAAGGGTTGGGTTGGAAATTCTGAAATTGGTTGGGTGGTCCTTGCTTGAATGGTGCTCTAGGGTGATTGCTAGCATTTGGATTTGGAAAGGGAGCCATTTGACCCGTGTTGTGGCTTGGGCCACTTGCATCTTGAAATCTATTACCATAATTGGCATTGGGGGCTCTCCAATTATCACGTTGATTGTTCATGTACCCCATTGCCGCTACATGTTCGGGGTCTCGACCACCACAATATGATATATCATGGTTGGTACCCCCACAATTCTCACAAGAGAAAGAGTGTACTTGATTGGTGGAGGAAGATGAAGACCCTTGGCTATTTCCCAGCTTCTTGTCAATGACTTGTTCCATAAGAAGCCTTGAGTGAACCTTGATCAAGCTCGAATTTGCCCGAAGCTCTCTCTTCACCTCTTCTTCTTCCACCACTCGTAGAATAGTAACCTCACAACTTCCTCTATGGTGTCCTCCAATTGAGCTTGAGGCACCTTGCTAATATTGTCCACCAATCCGGAATTCAAATTTTGCTTGGGTATGTCGTCAAGACCATCATAGAAGAACTTGATGAGAAGTTGCTTGTCAAACTCATGGTGTGGGCAAGCTCTCACATACTCTTTAAACCGGTCCCAAGCTTCCCCCAAAGATTCATACCTTTCTTGCCTAAATGATGAAATTTTCTGCCTCAATTCGGTTGATTTGTCTTCGGGAATGAACTTGTTCAAGAAAGCTTTGGCCGTGTCTCTCCATGTGGCCAACGAGCCGGGCTTTAGGTTTTTGAGCCACCTATAAGCCTTGCCTGT